TTTTTTTTGTCAGTGCTTGACCGGCACTAAGGAATATTTTGGGATGACTGTACATATATGGTGCTATATTTTATATACAGAAACTTAATTATTTCGATCTTTATATTTATGCCTGTATGTATGTGTTATCCAGTTTAATATTCTCTTAGTTAACTAGTTGTAGTGCGATTCCACTAAGTGTAGAGACCGTGGCGGGTCGTTACAAAAACAATTAAAGAGTATATAAGTAGGAATAACACTTACCTTACAAGTTGATTTGTATGGTTGAGTACTAGGCTTATAATCTACAATCTTAGAATTTAAAAGATTATGTATCACATATTGGAGGCATGGAAACAAATACTTCAGATGAATTCATTGTGAGTATTTGAAAGTTGAAGAATTATTGATAGAATTTATAGTAATTTCTTTAATTTTTTTTGTAAAAAATATTCCTGCAGAATTTCTTGCGAAAAAATTTGTAGGAAACTTTCCTACGAATTTTCTTGTGAATTTTTTTTGCAGGAAACTTTCCTGTAAATTTTGCGACGTTAATTCCCACATTTACGTCGGACTAGGGGGGTCTCACGTAAATTAGTCTCCACTTAATTACGAAACTGCCACCGCGTTTTTACAACGTCGGTATTTACTGTTTCCGACGTAAATTTGGTGACCTAAATACCCTTTTTTGCACTAGTGTGTCGACCGAGTTTCAACTAACGAGAGTACCAAACAGGTTTCGACTACTGAAGATGCTGAACGAGGTTTAATGCCTCTTGTGTGTCGAGGGGTACAGTCGATAGGTCTACTTTGTAGACCCATAAACACTTTGGACTAATTATTTTTAAGAAAAATTAAAAATATATTTAAAAAATTGTTAATCCACTATAAATTAGTTTTAACACGACATATATTGTTAAGATTTGTAAGACTCTTTAATGTAGTTTGTGAATGATGAAAATAAAAAGAAAAGCAAATTCCTAAGATGTGCAAACTACTATGCATATAGTGATTTAACTGCTGTTGAGTTTGCGTGAGAGTCTTAATGATGAAAATAAGAACAAAAGCAAACTCTTAAGTTTAAGATGTGTAAACTACTGTCCTAATTCTTACAAGACTTATTATTAGATCACTGGTTTTTTGTCGTTCGGTTTGGTTTCTAAAACATAATTTTTAATCAATTTGACAAATTTTCAACTGAACTTTTTTATTAATTCCATGAGTTTTTTTTTTTTAATTATTTGGATTAATGACGGAACTTGTTGAATTAATAGACAGTGAACTTTTGATATAGAAGATTCGTACATAGACATGAAACTTAACAGTTCATTAATAATAAGATACAATTATTTCCACCTTGAACACTAATAAATGACAAAAAGCCAAACACTAAATAAGCATAGCAGAAGGACACATTACATCAGCGATCTTAAGTTTTATTTTCCTCAAATGTTGTGGCTTCTTCCGCAGCTATACCTTGATGAGTACATTTCTTCTTGCTTTTTAGCATTCATTTTTGTAATGTGAGTCTAAGTCCACCACTAGTGTGAATTAAATTAAAAACAGTGATAGCTAGGACAAAGAATCACCCAAACAATTAATTCACTAAATGAACAAGTAAGCAACAAGGAAGAGAAAGACATGCCACATCGCCTGAAAAGGCTTCATCTTTTCACCGTTATTCTTCACATAGTATGGATTCGGGGTTCCTGGTGGAAAGTACAACACCGGACGTGGAGGTCCTTGTGGTATTTCACAATCTTCACATGATGTCTTTGGTGGTGGAGGGCATTCAACCACAACTGGTAGCGGTGGCGGCGGTGGCGGTGGCGGGCACTCTACCACAGGTGGCGGTGGCGATGGTAAGGGCTGGCACGGGTTGTCGCACTCGTCGCACATTGTGCATGGAACTATGTCTTTTGTGACTGTTGAAGTGGCTTCGGTGTTATTGATAGCTGAAACAGTGTATGCAAGGAAGAGAATGAAGAAGGAAGATACCAAAGGCAATGAAGTAGCCATAGTCTTTAGTTAATTGAAAACTGTTTGATACAAATAAAACGTAATAAAACAGTGGGTTTCATTTGGTTAAATATAACCTATGCATGTGTATAATGTATTGGTGACCGCACTTGTTGTCGGTGTTTTGTCCTCTACGGCATCGTTTCATCATCAGATCTTGCAACCAAAGTATATAAAACACAATTTCACACATCTGCTTCGTGTATATCTTACAAACACCATGCGTGTCAATCAGAAAAAGTAAAACTGCATGGTTCATAACTTATTTTGCAAAGTACTATATATTAATTATGTTGATTTTTTGGTCATTTTTTTTCATAAATTGTTTTTAATATAATATCAACAAGGTTTAAAAGGTAAGTAGCTAGAATTGGAGCATAATCTTGATTTTTTTCTTATTTTGCTGTGAATTACTGTGCTAACTACTAGAGAGTAGAGACGCGATACACCGTATGCAAATTTGAAGCGGCGGATTCTATCAATTGGTAGGATATGTGACGATGAATATATTTGTCTGTAATCCTATATATCGCTTTCCTAGTCACGTGAATAGAAATTAGAATGACATATGTACAAGTGAATGCCAAACTCATAAATGTCATTAACTATACAGGTGGTGGATCCTAGAAAATTAAATACATTGCTTAGGAAAAGCGAACAGAACTTGAAAGAAAAAATACTTAACATAGAGCTATGCTCCCAACAAGCTAGGCCACTTCTGTACACGAGTCTTCATTCTGTCTTAATTTAAACCTACAATGAACAATCGGCTCAAATTTTTTTGAACATCAATCTCAACTCACCAAGAGCTCTTAAGTCTAGATCTGTCCAGATAATTCTATTTTATTTTACACTCCTTCAAAATTGACATTTGACACCATATAATTTAATAATTTTAACATTCATTGTAAATATAAATATTTCTTATAATGCCGAGACTTTAAAATATTATCTCTAAATAATATAAAATTTTAATATATTCAAATACAAATATATAATCTCCTCTTAAGGTTAAGAAAAAGTAAGTTATACTCTTTAAATACTTCATGATAATGAATAAAAAAAATTATACTCTTTGATTATTCTCAACTTAAACTGCTGCTAAATTATTTTATAGCGTACTTTGTAGCGGAACAAAATGTAATTCAAACGATAATTGGTGTTTTTCTTTTTCAAGTGTCTATAGTTATATTTAACGGTGTCACACCAAATTCATGCTGCAGCGACACGATAGACAGTTTGTGATTTAGGTCTAAAAATTGTGAAGGGTGTTAGGATTTGTCCACATGCATTTGAGTTTGAGGAAGTATGTTTGTTATTTACTCCTTACATTACATTTTATTTTATTTGACGTTTAAGATTGTGGTACAAAATTTTAAAAAATGTAATTAATATGCCTAATTTTATGAATACGTTATGTAACTTTTTAATATACTTTGAATCTTCTGAATTCTCAGCAATAATTAAAAAAATTCATTAATAATAATAAAAAATATATATTATTTTCAGTTCTAATTATAAGCAATATATATCAAGACCAAAAAAAAAAATTAAGTTTGTTGTTTTAATTAACGTTGTCAAAAATTATAATTTTATTTTAAAGATAATTTAATGTTAATTATAAGTGAATGCATAAAAATAAAATTAAAAATATTTAAAAATATTTAAAAATTATCTTTAAATAATTTTAAAATTTGATAATTGTTACTTATAATTAAGATTAAAGAAAAATTTAATTTATTATTTATGATTAAGGTAGAAATATTTAATATTATATTGATATATTATAAAATAACAGTAAAATTAAAAACCGTAAAAAATAAATAAAACGAAGGAAAAAATATTTTATTGAGTCATTTGAATTTCTAAGCCAGATATTGCCCCATTAATATGCCAGAAGGATTCTAACATTATAGATTCCCAACGAACGATATGTACCAAAGTTCCAAGGTAAGAAAATTATATTTATGGATTAAATTAAATTTTAAGAATAATTAATACAATACATGTAAATTTTATTTTTAAAACCAATAATACATGTTTTTTTTTTCTGTTTTGAATTATACTTTGTATTTTAATAAAATTTAAATTATGAATGCTTTATAATTTTTATTATATCTAAAATTTTAAATGATCATAAAGTACACAATAATTAAATTTAGATTTAGACTGAATCCAAATATATACTATTTCTGTTTAATCTTGGGTGGAGAAATTATGTACGTACCGTTTCTCAAACAGAACAACCAACTGGATCTTTAATTTTAGTCCACGGCCCGAAGTACACGGACTTTGACTGTCCAGTTGTGGCATCAGAAGCCAGAAGGGCTTGAGCCTGTCAGATGAACCAATTTTTTCATTAAATGTGAAAATAAACAAAATGGCCAACATATAGAATATAGATGGACTTCTGCCATTTGTTTTTCAGATCCATCTCTCCTTTCATATCAGTGTCGTATGAAAATATTTAGAACATGTGTTGTATTATTCTAATCAAAATATACTCTCTACATGATTCTCTACGGTAATTCCTTTAAACATTTTCGAATAGAATCACAATCTTTATTTCTTTTAGCAGTAAAAATATTTAAATTCGTGTGCGGCTTTCACTATTCTTACCCCACACTTATTTTAAAACATTTCAATCATCAACTTATTAATAATTAAAAACTCATCCTCAAAAAACCCTATTCATAATAAACCGTAACACAAACTCGCTAAGTAACTTCTGAAATCAATTTTACAACTCGAGTTATTAAAAGAAATAAAAACAAAGTCCATTTATTTGAATCCCAGAGTTTATAGAAAAAATAAAATGATTAAATAACATACAACATTTTTAATGTGAGAATCCAAACGCTGATCAGTAAGATGTAATCAAAATCTTATTCCGCAGACAGCAACTTTACAATGATATGGAAAGAGAAAAAAATAAATTTGTACTAGGATAGTAGGATTACATGTGAAAGCAAAACCACCTGCCCAACGTGCAAGTTCTTAAAATAATAGAAAAACAACATGCAAGATCTCAGGTTTGGGTGTATGCAAGACTTGCTCCAGTGATAAAATGGCTATTAAGAAAATGGTCTGAAATTCGAATCCGAAAAGAAAAGAAGACATTGATCATAAATATATTAATTAATTAAGATTAGCACCAATTAAAAAATTGGCCAGAAATTCGAATCTGAAAAAAAGACATTGGTCAGAAATATATTAATTAATTAAGATTCTTAAGTGGAGTTGTGTGAATTATTCAACACTTTCTTATTATTTTTAAGATATACAGTTCTTATTATATTATTGACTATTGACTAAAATCAGAATTGTAGTCAATAATTCTCAAAAGTCTTCTCCACGAAGAGCTCTGAGAACCCTAGAATGAGGTGCATCAGGGTCACCACGCATGGCATTCTGGCGCCACATCTCAGCGGCCCTCAGCAGTGTCTCCTCCGCTGACTCAAGCTGCTCCGGCAGCCACCCAATGACATCCCCACCTCTTCCAGAATCTACAGTCTTGTCGGAGGCTCGAGAAATTGGCTTCCGCGAATCCACAAACTCTATCTCTGACAAGGGCGACGCTTTGTGGTGCTTATAGTACTCTTTATTCTCCTCTCTCCCTTTCTCCTCCGGCCACGGAGTCCCATCAAGACCAGCGCAACTCACTTCTTCTAAACCCACCGTTCCATGCTCCCGCTTTTGCTGAATGCTTGGCTCCAATCGCTGATTCACCCCCGCGCTCTCTAGTTTCTGTGAAGGTTCACATGGAGATTTTAAAGACTTCAACTTCTCGTGCGCCTTATTGGCATTGCGTTCTGTTTCAGCAATTTTGGCTTCCTTGGCTTCATCCTTTGTAGTTATACCCTGCAATATTTATATGCGTAAAGTTAGCATATCCGTTTGAGCTTATGATCGATGTGGGATATCTAACAAGAGATAAACGTTATTAGTATTACTCACTTGGGGTTGTCCTCTGTGGACCGCGGGACCAGCTTCTTGTTCTCCCGTGTGAATTTCTGTGTCTGCGGTTCGGCTGCGAGTGCCAGAGCAAAATCCTCGTTTGATGAGAGGAAAACGAGTGGTTGAAAATAAGGCCCAAGATGTTCTTCTTGTTGCTTCTGCTAGTCTCAATTGCATCTTAATTAACGTTGTTGTGGTTGCTTTGATTCTGTGTTGGACTTGAAAGTAGACTGTTAGGAACAGGATGAGATAAACTTGAGATTTGATGGGATATTGGAACAGACAGCCAAGAAGAGAAAAAGAGCTGGAGGGACGTTCTGGAAATTCCTCGACACGTGTATTGATTTTGACGTGGCACTGTCTTCTGTTGCCACGTGTTGGAAAGAGAATTAACATGATCTGCTTGTTCTTGAAGAAGCACCCTCTAGTTTCTAGAACTAGAACAAAGAACACCTTTCTGGAATGCTCCACGAACACATACTTGGCATTTGTGGAATTAATCAGTCAAAAATGTATTAGATGAAACTAATTTCTATACGTCATTTCTTGGGCTAGGCTATCGAACAATTATTTTTGTGCCAGCCCGAAACTTGTTTATTACAGTACAGTTCATTTTTGTAATGGGAAATGGATTTTGTGTTCATAGCAGTCCAATAGAAAATAAACCGAATGAAATGACAACAGTTCTAATAAGCACGAAGTGAAAGATGCCAGAATATGACCAAGCAGGTTTAGCAAGGTATCCATGGCAACCAATAATACAGATAATTCAAGAATCACCATTGACTTTTACCTATCTATATCTTCACCATTAGTTTAATAAGAAGAAATCGTCTTTTTCATTCTTCAATCCATTTACTTTAAATATCCTTTTTATTTCTATGCTTATTTTTTTTATTTTTCTTTTAAAATTACTTCCAATTAATTTAGATTCAATCTTATGATTGGGTTTATTAAACAAAATTAGGCTCCTCAAAAAAATGTGTAATATAGAGACTTAACCTAGGCCATCTTTCAAGAACATAAATTTATTTTATTTTTTATTTTTTTTTATCATGTAATTGAGTTAGGTTTTGGGAGAATTTTATTTCGAAAAGATTGCAAACAACAATATAGAAAATAGAATCTCAACATAGAATTTCAATATTATCAAATACCGATTCAAGATTTTAATTCCTACGATATAATTTTCATTGTTTACAACAAATACGAATTCTCAACCAACCTAATTCAATTCAAAATTAATCAATACAGAGATCTAAATCTAGATTATGAATTTCATTAAAACAAAGAACCACAATCGCAAACTCAAGATTCCAACAAAATCCGAGAGTAGTAATCAAATTGAATTAGGTTGATTTAGGTTATTTCAATTTGAAACTGCATCTTCTCATTTTTGTTTTTGATTCAAAACGAAAATTCAATATCATAAAAAACAAAATTATCATAAATAGAAAAGAGAAGAGGAAGTGAGAATTTGTTCGGTAAAAATTAGGAATTAAAATTTATCGTAGTTTTTAAAATCCTAAACTGATTGATGGATTAACTTCGCAATCATGTTGTTTCAGCCAATTCTAGTAGACAAGAGAGAAATTTCCTGAGTGAGAGAAAGAGAGAAGAGAGAATTTGAGAAAAACTTCTTGAACAAGAATTCCCAAATTTGAAAAATGAGAGTACAAAGTTAATGTAAAGAGTCATTACATGAATTTAAGGACAAAATAATGGGACTAAACTAAGGGTCCAACCCATTAATTACATTCCTAAAGCCTAATTAACTACAACTAAACAGTTTCAAGACAAGCTGAAAACTTCAATGTAGGGCTACGAGATTGAGGCATGATTTTGGGCCTGAAAACGTCTGAACTGGGTTTTTCTTCCAACATAGAAGTTGTAGATCTCTTTCTTATCTTTCCAGGGACACCAAATTTGCCCAATTCCGAGTTGTGTTTCTCCAGATATGGCTTGCACAATAAATTGTGTCAAAAGAAAAAATTATTACAAAAATTTAGTAAAATTTACAACTACATCCTAGATGACTCACTAACATAAATCTTTTTTTTTTTTTGGTTCGTCCCTGGAGTATCTACCGCCGATAGCGGTGACTAATCTCTTCGCTACGTTGGAGGCACCTCAAAGGGTGGGATAGCTGACCCCAAGATTTAACGCGGCTACATACACAAAGCAAGATTCGAACTCCTGACCTTACTTAAATCTAAATTAATACATGAATATATGACACTAAAAAAAATTAAATAAGGCAAAAATATATTAAAAAAATGTACTATGACTATCACCCTAAACTTAAACAATAAAGAAAAAACGTTAAGAAAACGTCGCTACTTCATGTGAATTATTAGTTAGGACCTTTAAACATATAATAATGTTTGATTCTTGATTGTGTATATAGAACAATATCTGAGTAGATGAGATGTCACTTAACTGATTTTCAACGTTTTTGGTGTATTACTCTTATGACTTCTGACAACGAGAATATCTTTAGATCCAATCTTGAATCTAAAAGAAAGTAAAATAATTTTTTTATAAAATTAAATTTAAATCATTACACATAATTAAGATATATATTATATTAATTTAATCTTAAATTTCAAAATAAATCATGTTCTACAACAGTGAGTAAGCCATAAGCGACAAATGTTGGACGTTGCTCCTAAATTAGCTTTTGCTCTATGTTGATCTTTTCTCCTCCTGCTGGTCTAGAAAATGAATAGCCCATTTGTGTTTTGTGGTTTAAGTTAAAATAACATGTTTTATACAAATTTAATATTTTTCAATAAAAAAATCTCTCAAAAACATTTTTATCTTGTATACAAGCAGGTTATATGTCATTGGCTCTCACTTTTGCTTGATCCATAAGCGGAAAAAAGTATCGGAAAAAGGAATAATTATGAGTGTATCATGGGCTCGGAGTAATTGTGAACTATGAATCCAATAAACTGTAAGTTTTGATTGAACACGTGTTTGATTTCACGTCTGTCAAGTTTAAATTCCGTAAAAGACGCAAAAGTAAAAAATAAAAATTTCTTACTTTTATGTTAACGTGGATCTTAAACGTGAATCCAAATTATACCGGAATTGTCGCTCAAACATCAACATGTGTAATGAAAAATAAAATTTATATCGATGCAATTTTTTAAAGTATTTTTGGTATTATTTTTTAAACTAAAATTAAAGTTTTACATTATTAATCTATGTTAATCCTCAATTTAAATTTTATTATAATAACATCAAAAATAATTACATCTAAATAAAAATCCAATTGCGTTTTATTGTTGAAATAAAAATCCAATTCTATTATAATAACTCCAAAAATAATTATAAAATTACATCTAAATTTTGTTCAAAAATCAACCCATGTTTGCCCCCATATTAGTCAGCGAGTCAGTCCAGTAACTTCATCCTTTAATTTTTACATTTTCTCCATATATCTCATTTAATTCTATTATTTTTTTTAAGTTTTATTTTGGTATGGTCCGTATGGAAGACCTCTTCTCAAAAAACCTAGCAATTAATAATCCAATTTTAGAACATTCAAAATGTATATCCTAGGAAAAACTATATATATACTTGTGTATTGAAATATCGGCCTTTTGGAGATAATTTCTAAAAATCTCAACATAATTTTCTTTAAGCCTAATTATTATAAATATATATGATTCACAAGGTAAAAGTATTGGACTTTTGTATGACTAAGTCCGTAGGAATCCGACATAATGGTCTACAATTGTCTTGTTAAAATAGTTTGCTTTTAACTTTGGGTTCAAGAGGTATACATCTCTCCAAATTCAAGCACTAAAGTATAATTAAAGAGACCTAGTGAATGCTTAATCTATCGAAAGGTATGAATCGGCTGAAGACTTGGACAATACTTGTTTAATAATAAAAAAGTATATGAATTTTTCGTGGAGTGCACTTAGGACAGCAACTGTATTTCCCAGTTCATGAAATGTGTTTTGACCGACTGGGCCTAAATTAGCATACCATTCTTTTAGGATACCAGTCATCCTACATCCAAATTCTTCAATGATCTTGAAGGATTCAGTATCTCCTTTCATGAATCTGGTGTCTAGCCAAACTCCAAATTCAATTAGCCGAGATCTCCATTGACTTGGGTCAATATCATCAAGGGTGAACCAAGGTCCCCTAGTTGGTTTAATGGTCCTATTTCTAGGACTCTGTATTGGGCTCTCATCAGGGGATTCATAAATAGGATCTGGTCCGGTGGATACCATCAAAACAGAGAGATCTGCTAATTGTGTTTCTGAGGAAGCTGTAGTAATGGAATCTTCATCAGATAAATTTGTGAGAAGATCATCTTCTGATCCAGTGTTTACAGAAGATTCTGGAGTAACAAGTTGTTCATTCTCTTTGACCATCATCTGAGAGTAAGGGTCTTGTGAGTCTTGAAAGTAATGACCCTTTCCCGTATCATGCCTTTTTGGTGATGAAACCGGAGTAGAAGATTTGGAGTCATCTTCTATTGATTTAGAGAGTTTTTGTGAACTGGATTGTGACTTTCTCCATTGCCAATTTGCAGAGGCAGTAGGAATGTTGTAATGTGGTCTTTCAGGTTTAGACCATGAGACGGATGGTGTCTTGAACAGAGAATGAGACACAGGTGCAGGGGGGTGCAAGAATGCGTAAGGATCTGCAGCAACTGGCTGAGGCTGTAAAGCCTTTTTCTTTTGTTCTATTTGTTCCTCCAATTGGAAGAGTTGAGCTTTTAAACTCCTGATTTCTCGATCCTTCTCACTTAGTGCTGCACCAAATGGAATATTCTTTATTTCATTCTCCAGTCTGGAAATGCCAGCGGTTAACTTTTGGTAGTATGTCTTCATCTTGGATGAGAGATAATCCAACTTGTCTTCTGATTTTTGCATACTGCTTGACATTTTTGTAACCTTGTCATCAATCCTTTTCAACAAGGAGTTATGTGCTTGAGCATTTTCTGTTTGCCAGTTGAGAACTTCTTCTGCCTGACTTAGTACCTTTGGCTTTCCGTCAGTACCAATCTCCGAAGGAATGATGGTAGGTTTGGTAGAATACCTCGTATTGGGGTTTATTTTTCTTTCCAAAGGAGGAAATTCTACATCTTTGTTTGCTTCAGAAAACATGAAGCATGGTACTGGCTTGGGTGTAGGAGGAGAAAACTTTTTCACCTCATCTGAACACCTTGGTGAGATCATATTATAAGAATATCTGCTCCGTTGATTAGTCTGTCTGTTGAAAGAAGACTTGTTTTGTGAATCTGGCCTTCTGTTAGGTCGAGGTGGTGACTTACAGGGTGTATTCCCCTCCTCATTGTCACTGTAATCACTATCTGATTCACTATCTTCTTCTTCGCTGGTGTCTCCTGAGTGCATCCAGCAATCGCACTCAGGATCGTACATTTCTGGGGCAACATCCCAGATGAAGTGACCATTGATTCGGTCTGTATAGATCTCTCGCCCGTCTGGTTGTACCGCAAAGATGGGAATTCTTTTTTCTTTGACGAAGGGTTCTAACATCATTGTTTGGAAAATTGGACCTGAGGCTTTCTCAGGTTGCTGAAAGATTGTTCTGACCGTTCCGTCGACGGATCGGATTCAGTATCTCCTTTCATGAATCTGGTGTCTAGCCAAGCTCCAAATTCAATTAGCCGAGATCTCCATTGACTTGGGTCAATATCATCAAGGGTGAACCAAGGTCCCCTAGTTGGTTTAATGGTCCTATTTCTAGGACTTTGTATTGGGCTCTCATCAGGGGATTCATAAATAGGATCTGGTCCGGTGGATACCATCAAAACAGAGAGATCTGCTAATTGTGCTTCTGAGGAAGCTGTAGTAATGAAATCTTCATCAGATAAATTTGTGAGAAGATCATCTTCTGATCTAGTGTTTACAGAAGATTCTGGAGTAGTTATTCTATCATAAATAATTGAAAACATCTTTGTACTATTTATTGAGAAGAAGGGAATGAGATAGGCATCAAAGGCCAAATTAAAAAGAAGAGGGAGATAGAGAAAAAATGCATGTTGTTTAAAGCTAGCACTTGAAAAACTGATACTCGGAGATCCGTCACTGGTTATTGTATGTTCCTTGGGCCTGCATTGATTTCCTGGAAAAGTAAAAAGCAGTCTCGTGTCTCTAAGTCCTCCACCGAATCTGAGTATCGGGCTATGTCAACAGCTTGTTCTGAGATTATTTGGCTTCGTGGTCTTTTGGCTGAGCTTGGATTCCCTCAAACAGATGCAACACCTCTCCATGCTGACAACACTAGTGCCATTCAAATTGCTACCAATTCAGTCTTTCATGAGCGCACTAAGCACATTGAAGTGGATTGCCATTCTATTCGAGAAGCTTTGGACAATCATGTTATCTCCCTTCCTCATGTCACCTCTCAACTTCAGCTTGCAGACATATTTACCAAGGCTGTTCCTCGTCCACGACATCAATTTCTAGTTCACAAATTGATGCTTCTTGATCAGCCGCATCAATTTGAGGGGGGATGTTAATGAGGGAATCAATTACGATTACTGTTTCCTATTATATATTATGTATTTTAGGAATAGCAATCAATTTATTTATTACATATAATTAGACTTCCTACAAATTAGGAATTAGATTTATTCTATCATAAATAATTGAAAACATCTTTGTACTATTTATTGAGAAGAAGGGAATGAGATAGGCATCAAAGGCCAAATTAAAAAGAAGAGGGAGATAGAGAAAAAATGCATGTTGTTTAAAGCTAGCACTTGAAAAAATGGAGTATTTAAAAATATAAAAAAAACCCTAATATGTTTGATGGGTGAAAAAGAAAACAGAGATAAAATAAAGTATAGATGATATGTTTTTATTATTTAGTTAGAAAAAATGTAAAGAAAAATCTTTATATCTTAAAGTAAGGAACTTTCTTTCCAAATTACATTTCAGTTTTCTTTCACCGTAGCAAACAGATTCGACAGGAGAGGAATTATAAACAACATATATATTATTTGAAGTTTAAATTCAAAAGGAGAGATAATTTGGTGTTATGAAACTCCTAGTTAGGTGAGGTTTTCCGCGATTTAAATTTTTGACTTCATGGTCATGAAATCAACTCTTATTTTTTTTAATCCATAAATTTTAATGATTAGATGTTATGTTATTTGAGATTCGAACTCTAATTAATCAACTCTAATCACCGAGAAAAAGCTTTTCATCATTTGAAGTTTAAGTTTGATTTATAAAATAGATTTGATCCAAATCCAATTTATTTATTTAAATAAACCAGCGTATAATTCAAACTTGACTTGTTTAATTTGCTTATAATTAACTCGACTGTTTTGCTTGAACCAGTGACAATTGGTAAGAATATGTGTCATCCTCTGTGATGGTGCCGTGTGGTTCCAATCAATGTTGTTGGAGTTTTGAGGAGTGTAATTGTTAGAATAGTGGATTAAGCCTAACTCAACCCTACAAAACCGGCATGTAAGGTGAGGGTTGCTTTCCACTTATATACTATTCAATTGTCTAATCTCTAGTCGATGTGGACCGGCAAGTGTAGTCAAGACCGTACCAATCACAGCATTTTCGTAGTGCAGATAGCTAGTATCTAATAGGGAGATCCTTGAGGAGACATGAAGTCCTCGTCTCCCATGGAGTGTGAGCATCAACCTAATGGCCCCGTAGTGAAGATGGGTGTATCCATCGGTTCTCCAGTATCAGATGAGTTCCTTTGTGATCTCAATAGTAACATACTGCTCTTCAGAAGTGGCCATCAAAGAACACTGTTCCATCTTGGAAGATTGAACATATTCCTTTTCATGTGGACGAGTGGTTCTGACCAACTGCCTGATAGATCTAAGAGTAGATCTTTGACATTTGAATATATTATATGGACTTAGAAGGGGGACAGTGCTCTCAGAGATCTGAGCATCTTTAGGGACATACGAAAATTCTACTAGGTTTTCAATCTTTGGTGCTAGAGTTCTAGAGACATGGTTGGGTAAGGATAAAGAGGTGTTTAGGAAGGCGGGTTGAGTGTCTGAAGCAGAAGTTTCCATGGTAGTAAAGTCTCTCTTCTACTCACTATATCCTCTAAAATAGTATTATGGCCTCAGTATTCGAGAAGCAGGTTAGGTATTCATTTTGTACAACTAAAATTTATAATTTAAAATTCTTGAATTTCAAATAAATTCCGGACTCTGAATTTGCTACAGGTTTTACAGCAAAGGCAGTATGTGAATCAGATGGGATTGGCATATGTCCAAGTCCAATCTCTTGTGTTTTTTTCAAACTAAACAGATTTAGTTTATCTTTTTCTTTCTATATGAAAAACGGATCAGCTAAATAGATTTTGTTCCGACACTTTTTGTTTTTCAAGTAAAATAATGGACAAAATTCTGATATGGGTTGTTTCAGTTGTTATATTTTTATTTTTATTTTGAGGGAAATTATATCTTTCTTAGGTGACTTTATTTCTTTTTAACGCTCATTATTACTAAGAATAATCCTTTCTCATTATCTTTGTTGCAACGTTTACAGAAAATTAAATAGAAGTTGTTAACTCAAAGTCAGTTACTTCACACAAGACTTTTTCAGGTATGACTATTTTGTAATGGGGAAAAAGAGGGGAGGGGGGAGAATATTTCAAGCTTAATTCAAATTTAACTCTATTTATATACATGAATTTCATTAACTAACTGCATTTCATGTGACCTAACTCTAGGTTTCTTTTCCCTCCACCAAATTAGAAGATTTATAAATAGTTTTTGTTGTAAATTTGAATTAGTTTATTTAGCTCTAAAACAAGTCCCAAATGAAATATTATGGAGTTCTTTTAGGCCAAAAAATAAAATTCAAAAAATTAATCTAATCTAAACATGCACACATTCTTTAATATAGCCTGCAAAAGAGTGAAAAAAGTAATGGTACATTACATACACGACTTGAAGAGTTAATTCAGGTTATGAAGCTAACGGTGGATTAATCTAGTGCTCCCAAACTGCAAGCCATCCAATATTTGACCTAATTAGTCTTTCTTCGCGTGAGAAGGTTATGCATTGACTGAAGTAAATGATATGTTACAATACTAATTTACTCTCACAATGCTCAAATATTTATGACCATAAATTGTAAAAAGCTATTGCACATGCACTTGGTGTAGCTGTGTTTTTTTGGGGGATAATGATAAATTATTGTAATCCTTCGTTTCATAATAAGCTTCATTTTAATTATTTATATAAATAAATTATAGAAAATAATCATTTTATAAAATTAATTTTATTATTAATTTTCTTTTCTAAAACTAATGCAACACAAAAAATTACTTTCTAAAAGATATTATTATGGATATAAATAAAAAAATAATTAATATTATATTTAAAAGTTAACATAATACTTATTTTTAGACTTATTTTTTCTTCTATCATAACAATTATTATAAGAATGAGAGAGTATATGGTTTTGACCACTTGTTCATACAAGAAGACATGGTGTTCTTGAATAATAACATTTTCCTTGTCCCTACTCTCTACTAAACAAAAATAATAATAATTACATGTTACTATTTTTCTTTTGACATTTAATCGATTGCAAAATATCACTTTACAAGTGAAACCATACATTATAATAAATAAATAAATATACTAATTATGTACCAAAAAAAATTCTCAATGAATGTTTTGTAAGAGTATTTATGGTGGACAACGGCCCTGGCATACTAGTGCATAAAATCTAGTCACAAAGCAAGGTTTGACCATAATAATGACTAACCATGCAAACAACGTAACTGCAATAGTATTATACTTGAAGTGTAACTTATGATAAAGTTTGTAGATGTGAAACAATCTTGGCCATTTGATGCTTCGTATCAATTAATGCATTCTCAATCTCTCTCTCCTATTAAGGAACACAAACGGAGATGGCTTGAAACGCAGATGTTGCCCTCATCAGTTTCTCTCATGGACGACCTCACACAGCCAGTGCATGTGCCACAAAACTACTTGAAACCCAGCATGGAAGATCAACTTCCTTTTGGAGCTCCTTCCTCGCAGGGTTTCTTGCAAGATTTTCATCAGTTTCATGTGAATGGCTCCTCATCATCTAATCCCGTTTTCGGGGTACAAACTCATCCAAATTTTGATCCATTTGATCATAATGTTACATGTGAGTATGCGCCTCCTGATTTTGATGTTTATGAGAGCAAGCCTTTTGCTGAAAGTGATGGTAGAGGGCATGCTCATCTTATGGACAATTTCCAACATGTAGGTTATAGTTTGAATCTCCCTCGGACAAATCAATTGGATGTCATGGTCGCAAACCAAACTTATCTGCCCTTCAATGCTCTAGAAACCAAGCCTTTGAATTTTGTTGTACCAGATGAAGTCTCATGCATATCGCCACCAAATTATTACAAGAGAATTGGCTTCAATAAGAATATCAGGGAATCTCCTAGAACTAGGAGAACATTCAAAGCTCGGAAGAAGTCCAACATAGTGAAGGGGCAATGGACACCAGATGAAGACAGGTTCATAATTTTAATTATGGAATATCCAAATACATACTTTCCATTATTAAACCTTTTGTTTTAAATGGTTATTTGTATAATCTTGTTTCGTCATTTTTTCCACATATTTTGGTTGAGAAAACACATTGTGATTTGACTGATTCCATAAACAGATTATTGATTCAACTGGTCGAACAATTTGGAGTGAGGAAGTGGTCACATATAGCTCAGGCTTTGCCTGGAAGAATAGGGAAACAATGCAGGGAACGATGGCATAACCATTTAAGGCCAGACATTAAGGTTCCAATTTATTAGTCATAAAAAATAATAAAAATATATACACTTCTCACTACTGAGTTTATATATAAAAGCACATGAACCATAAATGCATGAGCCAATTGTTGAAAATTATTCCTCTTGACTCATATGACCTTGATATGTACTTCTAAATATATTACACTATGCGTGTGAAAATCTTTTTGACCAACTACAGTTATGCGAACCGGATTAGAATCAAGACCAAATATTAAACTATTGCAATTCATAGTGCCTTGTATTAAAAAAAAAAAAACTACTTTTGTTCCTTTGTGCAGAAGGACATATGGACTGAAGAAGAGGATAAGATACTGATCGAAGCTCATGCAGAGATAGGAAATAAGTGGGCAGAGATTGCAAAAAGGTTGCCTGGAAGAACTGAGAACTCAATCAAAAACCATTGGAACGCGACCAAGAGAAGGCAATATTCCAAAAGAAAGTGTCGTTCAAAGTACCCAAGAGGCACTCTTCTTCAGGAATACATCAAGAGCTTGAACTTGGACCAAAATCCACCAATAGACTATCGAAAAAAATCTGCTAAAAATACTAAAGCCAAGACAAACAATAATGGCAAAGCAGCAGCAGCTCAGTCTCAGTCTCAGTGTCCAGATCAATTTTGTCCCAATGGCCAGTTAGTGGCAAAGTATGATTTTAACGAGGTCCCAGATTTTTGTTTGGATGATAATTTGTTTGAAGAGGGGTGTAGCATTAATTCTCTGCTAGATGATATGCATAGTGCTTCTACAATGGATGAGAAAGATCTTGATGAAAAAATGCAATGTGCTCCTACTATGGAGGGAAAACAATCTCATCAGAGAGGAATCATGCAGTTCGCTCATGTTGTTAATGTTGACGAGCATCATGAAGTTAAGACAGAACTGGATTTGGTGGAGATGATGTCCCACGTTAATGAAAGCCATTATAGTACGGACTCAACACGTTGATTAATTTCATTATTTCAAGTGTTGAAGTTTTTTTTTTTTATTGTGCTTGGACTCAGTTCTCATATGTTGTTACCATGCATGCACAACAATGGAAGAGAAACGCAGAGATTTGCTACAGTCCAGAAAAGGGAGGGAAAAAAGAACAGTGTCAACAATAATAAATTGAAATAAATAATGAGTATTATTATATTTTATAATAAACAAAGATATTAATAAAATCTTGGTTGATGCTTGTTTAAGAAAATACACATGTTTTCGACCAGCATGAACAGCTATAATAAAAAATGAGATGAAATTTTTGTCAGCTTTCCTTTCACAGACTCTAAAACAACATTAAATTTGTTTTAAGTCTTATAAACTAACTCTGGATACTTTAATCTCGATTGACATTGTATATTGCATTTTCTCTCTTTTATTTTTGTACATGATCAATCAACGATTAAAATCCTTATATTATATTATATTATATTATATTATATTAATATATATATATATATATATATATATTAATACATTTAACACATTTTTAGAAATATTTCTCAATTTATATTTGTTAAAAGTTTATTATAGATAAATTAATATTTTTTATCTTAATATTTTTCATTTATAATATCTATTTTTCTTATACTAACTTTCGTATCGAGTAAAAGAATTTTACACAAAAGTGTTATTTTAATCTTTAATTATTTTTTAAAATTAAAATCTCACATCAAATAAAAAAAATAACACATAAAAAATTATATTAAAATAAAACTGAGAACTCAATCAAAAACCATTGGAACGCGACCAAGAGAAGGCAATATTCCAAAAGAAAGTGTCGTTCAAAGTACCCAAGAGGCACTCTTCTTCAGGAATACATCAAGAGCTTGAACTTGGACCAAAATCCACCAATAGACTATCGAAAAAAATCTGCTAAAAATACTAAAGCCAAGACAAACAATAATGGCAAAGCAGCAGCAGCTCAGTCTCAGTCTCAGTGTCCAGATCAATTTTGTCCCAATGGCCAGTTAGTGGCAAAGTATGATTTTAACGAGGTCCCAGATTTTTGTTTGGATGATAATTTGTTTGAAGAGGGGTGTAGCATTAATTCTCTGCTAGATGATATGCATAGTGCTTCTACAATGGATGAGAAAGATCTTGATGAAAAAATGCAATGTGCTCCTACTATGGAGGGAAAACAATCTCATCAGAGAGGAATCATGCAGTTCGCTCATGTTGTTAATGTTGACGAGCATCATGAAGTTAAGACAGAACTGGATTTGGTGGAGATGATGTCCCACGTTAATGAAAGCCATTATAGTACGGACTCAACACGTTGATTAATTTCATTATTTCAAGTGTTGAAGTTTTTTTTTTTTATTGTGCTTGGACTCAGTTCTCATATGTTGTTACCATGCATGCACAACAATGGAAGAGAAACGCAGAGATTTGCTACAGTCCAGAAAAGGGAGGGAAAAAAGAACAGTGTCAACAATAATAAATTGAAATAAATAATGAGTATTATTATATTTTATAATAAACAAAGATATTAATAAAATCTTGGTTGATGCTTGTTTAAGAAAATACACATGTTTTCGACCAGCATGAACAGCTATAATAAAAAATGAGATGAAATTTTTGTCAGCTTTCCTTTCACAGACTCTAAAACAACATTAAATTTGTTTTAAGTCTTATAAACTAACTCTGGATACTTTAATCTCGATTGACATTGTATATTGCATTTTCTCTCTTTTATTTTTGTACATGATCAATCAACGATTAAAATCCTTATATTATATTATATTATATTATATTATATTAATATATATATATATATATATATATATTAATACATTTAACACATTTTTAGAAATATTTCTCAATTTATATTTGTTAAAAGTTTATTATAGATAAATTAATATTTTTTATCTTAATATTTTTCATTTATAATATCTATTTTTCTTATACTAACTTTCGTATCGAGTAAAAGAATTTTACACAAAAGTGTTATTTTAATCTTTAATTATTTTTTAAAATTAAAATCTCACATCAAATAAAAAAAATAACACATAAAAAATTATATTAAAATAAATAAATTTTGATATATAATTTATATTTATAGTGACTAACTTAGTACACTTTTAACTTTAAAGAAATTGTAGACATGAATTATAAGTATAAATGACAGTATAATTTATATTAATATTAATTATAATTTTATAAATTTACAAAAACTTAACAATATTATTAAAATGTTGCAAAATATCATTTTAATAACATTTTTAAAATATTGTCATTAATATATAAAAATGTTGTTAAAAATATTTAATAACATATTTTATTTTATATTTATAAAACATCACAAAAATATATAAATTACTTATAATTTAGTAATACTTATATCGGTAAAAACATATTTTGTTGCAGTAATGTTTGTTATAAAGAAATATTGATAAGTATCAGATTTATCTAATGAAAATATTGAATTAGAACACTTATCTAGCACAATTTTTTGATATAATGATAAAATTATGGTAAATACTGATGAAATCTAAAACGGTTTTTAATTTTAAGTCAGTACATGGAGTGATGAGTTTTTAGATTAGATTTCCCTTTTATTTTGTAGTTTTTGAAGACTGGAGTTAAACGGCTCAGTCCTTTTGAAGGGCTGAGCACTTTTAAGCCAGAGAGCATCTCCAAGGAGAACAAAGGAGTAGGGCTCAGTGCCTTAAATGGGCTGAGTGGTTTTGTCACTGGAAAAATGAAGCACTCTCTGTCTCCTAAGCGCTCAGCAGTTTCAAAGGGCTCAGCCCTTTGAATTACTTAATGATGAAGAAGTTTCCCAGGTGCTCAGCGGATTTGAAGGGTTCAGCCCTTTGGATTCCTTTGTGGTGAAGTATTCTCTAGGCGCTCAGCGGTTTCTTATCTTTCTAGTTTACTTTGTTTTAATTCCCATCACATATAAAAGGGTTGAAGAGAGAGAAAAAGAGATCATAAGTTGCACGAAGAGAAAAACAAAGAAAAAGGGGACGAAACATAACGCCTTGGAGCTTGTGGGAACGACGCTCTTGGTAGGATCTCTTTCTTTTCCATTTCTTCTTTTATGAAGAGCTAAAGCTCTTAGGTTGGGATTGATGTAGTGCGTGTTTGCTTTAGCTTTTGGACGTGAAAATTCACGTTTGTGAGAAGCAAAAAATTGTAGCTTCTACATAAATTGGCTTGTAAACGTGGAGAGAGAGTGAAAAATCACGTTTCTAAATCTAAAGCAAACACGCACGTAATCATCGAACTCCTGTGTATTCCTTTTTGATTCATATATATATTACATCTATTATTCAGTGCTAGTGATTTGTATTCTGTTCTTAATGCTTAGATAAACTGATCATTTATCTTTGTTCTTAGATTTAGAATTTGGTTAGAAAACGTTTTTCTTGAATCTAGATTTGAAACAATCACCTATTAGTTTTGAAAGCTAGGAATGATTTTGAAATTAATGGTTGTAACAAGTTCTGATTCTTAATGCGAGATGTTTAACTGGATGAAGTGAGGAATCATTCATTGAGTTAAATATCTTAGAATTTTTACTGCCAAGGAATTGGAATCATTTGCAATAAGTAATATAGAGAACTCAATGGCAATAAGTAATAGAATCATTTGCAAGAATCATTAAGAATACATAGGAGAGAGATTGATAAAATTAATCCCAATTGTTTCTCATATTTGCTTTTCTTAAATTTAATTTGATTTTGGTTATTTAAGTTTAAATTACTGCTCACATCAAATATTTAACATGTGCGGATATTCAATCTTTGAATTTACAAGTAGCAATTAGTGTAATAGAAATCGAGGTCTACTTCACAAGTCCCTAAAGATCAACAATTTTTTTACTATATACAACATAGAGACTTGGGTGTACTTACTCGGAAAACTAACAAATATTAATACAGGCCCTCGAATGTGATTGATTTTTTTTGTTTTAGCTCAAGCCTTTTCAGTTTTCTGTAACTGCTTGGTCTGGAAAAGAGGTAACACGTCAGTTAATATGGACTATAGTAGAATGTTGGTGTAGGGTAAATGACCTGTGTAACTGTGCAAGGGAACATATATGAAGGACGCAATTAAGATTGTGTTAATTAACTTTACTGTTGTGTTTGTTATTAAAGTTAATTTATGTTGTACGTTGCATATTAGAATCGGAAATCAATCAATTTAATTTGGTCCTTCCATTGTTGAAAAAGCTAAATTGATACTTAAGTGTATAAGAAAAAGTCAACTACGGTGGTTATCATGACACATTTGCAAATGACCCAAATATTAGTGAAATGATAACCTTTTTTTTTTCTTTACTTTTCACAGGTCTAGTTCTTTCTCTGTTCATTAGTTTTACATTCGTCTTTTAATTTACTTATTGAGGAAATGTCACCGCAATAATTCTTAAAATCAAGTTGTGTGAATCATATTTGATTTGAAAAGCATAGTTGTTTCATTTATTTATGCATAATTGACAAAATTTGATTTTAGAGATTAATATGATAACATTTTCTCCATGGGTACAGCAATTACCATATTTTCTTAATGGGTGGATAAATAAGAAGACTAATGTAAAACTAATGGCAAAGATGGAACAAAAATGTAGAAAATGGAAAAAAAAAATATTATTATTATTTCATCAATGTTTCCATCATTTTCATCACAATCGCGAATGTTCCTTGTTAAATTGTTCTCAAACACTTAATATATGTTAGATAGTACTAACTAATTTATGACGACTTGAAATTATAAAATAATAATAATAATACTAATAATTTGTGAGAGTTTTATTAACTCTAGAAATTCAATTACAAAAATTGTTTAAAAATTGAATGTTTAATTAAAAGATATTAGTTTAGAGATTTGAGAAAAAATTCTTAAAAATTCGAGCATTGATATATTAACCCTTATTTAAATACCTATGAAATTTTTAGTAAAAGTCTCCCTTTCTCATCACAGTGTCTCGTCCACATTTCGTATCAAATTTACCCATAAATTTTTTAGTTATTTATAATATGCATATTTAAACCAATGTAATTGTTTTAGATGAACATAAAAAACACAGAAAAAAAATGGGTTAGTTGAAGTGAGCTTAATTAAGAGTGAAGTAGAATTTTCAAAAGCTAAATCATTTCATGTATCTAATAAGATTAAGGAAGTTGTTGTATACATCTCTTTTTTTAAGTCTTTAGTCTTTACACATAATTTTTTTTAGACTTAAAAATATTCAAACTATCCCTACTACCACTTTCACCCTCCTCTCCTTTTGCGCTCTCCTCTTTCATTCTCTCACCTTCCCCCTTCCTCCTCTCGCAGTCCCCTCTTATTTTTCTATCTATTTTCTTCTCTTTTAAGTCATCTTAGGCCATCTCAATCTTTCATTTTTCTTCTTTACTTTTCACAAATTTTACGAAAAACTATTTTTCATAACATAAAATTTACATTACTAAAACTAACTTTTGTAATGTATAAGTAATGTAAATGTTACATTACGAATATAAAGGATATTTTTTTATTTATTTTTTTTTACTAAAATAATGGCAAAAAGTGCAAGGAATAAAAAAGGAGTATTAATACATCTATTTATTGAGCTCAATCGATCTATTCATTTCAGCCTATACACCTCAATTGACGGAGTCATGGTTTTAATCTATCTTGTTACCATATTGACAACAGGTCAAGTAAAAGTGAATTTTTAGTTAACCTGGCCATAAGGATTAAAACTAACACTCGTTACGCAAATAAAATAAAGCCTAATCTGTTCTGGCTCAGCCACACGCCACCTAGCAATCTTCCTCAGTTAGTAATTAGACGTGATAGTAATTTGTTTGTCAGCCGAATGCTTAGGGCATGAAATGCTAATAATACGTTTTTCAACCCACTCTTTTAAATATATATTTTTTATTATAACTAAAATTTATTATAAATTACAATATTTTACAAGTCTACCTCTTATTTATTAAGTCTCTCACGTAATTTTAGAATTTTCAATAAATTTTAACTAATAATATAAAATATGTTAGGAATGTATCAAAGAATATGTTACTAACATGTTGATATACAGAAATTCCAGATCAAGATCACACCAAAAATGAAATACCAAATCAAAAGATAAATGTTTGCGTGCTTCTTGATGGTGTAAATAAACATCACACAAGGTGAGTTTGTCACAACAGCAATAGTTTCATTAAAGCACCACAACAATAGTTTTCTCATTATATGACATCAACTACATGAATCACAAAAAGTCAGGAAAAATATTGTTCACCATGGAATCATTGAAGCACTAAACTCAAATGTAGTGCTGGAAGAATAGAACAGGGCATAAAATTGAAAGACTAGACCAGAGCCACATCACAACGCGATATCACAAACATTCTGCTGGAAAGCTCTCTCAGGATGTTTGTAATCAATTTTTGAGTGGTGTGGGAAATCAAGTGGCATTTCATCAGCAGAAAGCCCTGCTTCCTTGAACACCTTTATCACTTCTCCATAGGCTACTGCATTTCCTTCTGTTGTCAGGTGCAACCCATCACTTAAACAGCAAAACATCAATGTCAGGTGGAATCTCCCATAAATTTTATAAAATGTATTGTAGTTGATTCCACTACAGATAAAATATGCATAAATAATGAATAACATTATATCCTTGTACGATATCTTCTTAATATATTAAAAAAAAGTATTAAATGAAAAAGTACATATATTTAATAGTTAGAAACATCAAAATCATTGAATATTTTATTCATCAAGTAATTATGACGGTATTGAAGTGGTATTTATAATTATTCAAAATTAAATAGTCATGAAATACTGTCAGACACAAAATAAATCCCAAACCTAAACTTCCCCACTCATCTCTCTTCTGTAACTTCCAATTTTCATATAGAAGAAAGCAGTTTACGGCATCCTTATTAAACTACAAAATAGTAAATCCATGATGCCATTAACAAGATAACAGAATCACATTATAACTAGATTTGGTAAAATGTAATCCATGATGCATTCAAGATTTAACAAGAAAACAGGGTCACACTTATGTCAATCAATATTTTTCAAGTCCAGATTGTAACAAACCGCAAAAATTTCGTTTGCCAGCCATCTGTTTCTTGCATTTTCGACCATAGATTGATATGCCACACGCCCATTTCCTTTGCTATCTCAACACATGCGTTTGCATATTGACCAGTTACTTCATTTGTTCTTTCAGGCAATTTGCTAGCATTCGTGCCATATACGGATCTGCAATACGCAATAAAAACATCTCAAACATAAACTTAACTAATGTCAAATAAGTAGAATCCAATGTAAACGTATAGTTTTTTGTTTTGCCAAAACACTAGAATTTCATGGACTGGCAAGTGTAATACCCAAAAAAAAATCGCAAAATACAAAAACAATAATGGGGCACAAAGTTTCAATAGAGAAGCTTTAATCAGATTAGAAATAATTACACATCAATGAAGGTTTAGCTATGGCGAAAAATTTCTCAATTAGAAACTGATAGTCACTAGCATACTTAGAGAGCAGGTGGAATAGCAATCGAGTAAAATATTGATGTGATGGACTTTAGATGTATATGACGTGGGGATAGATAATCAAATGGTGGTTTGGAAAAGATGGATACAATAGTGATGCTAAAAATAGCAATTATAATGGTTGTGGTGAATGTAGTAATTATTGCATTTTTTTAAACAAAGGGAATAAACCCCTCACTTTAGTCCCCGAGATTGTAAATGCTGATCAATTTAGTTTCTTGATTGTGCAAAATGCCATTCACTTTAATCATTTTCCACTAACATTAAGATCTAAAGTATAATGTTCTATAAATCAGTGACTAAAGTGAGGGTTTTGTAAAGTTAGGAATTAAAGTAACCCAAGCTTATAATCTTAGGGTCTAAAATAGGGATTGACCCAAAAAGAAGACATATAAGTTAAACAGGAAGGAACAATTACATTTGATGGTATTTGTAAGAAAAGTGTTATAAATAGCCAAGTAAATAATAGTGCAGTAAGATGGTGTCCATAAACTAAAGAAGGCAGATTATGGATATTAAATCTAACAAGAGATGAGAAATTTATAAATACATTGCATATGCTAGGCGTCCTTCCTCACTAATTGGAGGTGGAGTAATAATCACAATTTGCATAGTTGGTGAGCATTCCTGAAACCAAATTATCACTTACAATCAACAACAGATAATATAATTAGCACTTAGGAGGCAAATGGAAGAGCTTATACAGAGCTTTGGACTTAAGAAAATGGCTAAAAACTACTACAAGCTCTTTTTTAGTTTATTTCAACAAGTTTCATCGTAAAATTTATGACAAACTCTCATGCGAAAATAGCTTACTGAATAAGTACTCAATTAAATTGTTTATCCAAACATACCTTCAATGTTATAAGAGTAAAATTCATGTTTTTTTCCCAGGTTTTTTTTACCAACATGAAGTACTAAAACAACCCACAATAGCTACTCCTTAACTCAATGTGACAATTAACCCAGAAGCAAAACAACAAAGCTAGAAGAAATCATGTTTATTTGAAAGCACAAGATAGAAAATCATCAGAATCATGTGACTAAGATTAGAGAATGATAGCACAAAACGCATAAAAGAAACCAAAATTTTGTTCTATGAACATTCTAGGCAATCATGACCATATCAAACTAAAGAAAATAATATTTTAACATTACAATATGTAAAATAAAAATACCCAAGACACCAAAAAATACTGAGCTAGTAAATAAATCTTGATATTTTTAATCTTTTTTTCCAGGTCATTGCAGAGCATTGAGCCAGCATGCCCAGGAACCATTCAAAATATTTGCCTTGCATATAAAACAAGGTTATAACCCTATTAAAATATATCAACTGGCATCATAGGCAAACCCAACTAAGGGAATACAATTTTGCAGTGTACATAAAAATTGGAGTTGAAATGTTGAACAGGTAATTCATAAACTGGTTAAGTTTAAATCTAAAACTATTGAACAACAAAATGTAACCTTTAAATGTCGAACAAATTTTCTGAGGTTCTCTTTGAATTCTTCAATAGGTACATGTTGTCTTTCACTGGTTCTTTCCAACAAAGCTGCATCATTAGCACCGAAGAAAATCGTGGTAGCAATAGGTGCTGAAGTAGAGTCCTGAAAATGAAACCATCCAAACTCAATATTAGAGTGATTTTCCAAAAATAAACAAAGACCCTATATGGAAGAGGCTCTGGCGGTCTGGCCCCTCACTGTTCGAAAACTGTTATGTAAATGCATGAGAATTTGATTTTAAACACAGTTGGTTTTCTAGTCTGGCTATCTGTTTGTATAACTTCTCTATAAACACTAATAGGAAAGGAAAATAAGAATGAATAATGAAGTACGTTTCTCTGATAAGTTAGAATTAACCGAGTTAAAATAGCCTTTTGGAGAAGTTGAACGAGAGAATTTCTACAACTCAATTTTATGCAAACACCCTATTGGCAAAAACAAAAGAAAATTATGAATTATATTTAAAAAGATTAAAGTACTTTATCACTTACAAGTCATACAAAACCTAGTCTAACATGAGTGAGACCCAATTAGTTGCAAATTTGTTAATATTACATATAAGGTTAAAAAATAGGGGTTAATGTGCACACATTAACAGAATAAAAAACGATCTAGGTGAGCATAAAATACCATAGGGAAGAGGTGATGCAGTAAGAACATAGCCCACCTAGTGTTGTATCCGCCATAACCACGAACAAGAACATCAGCCTGAACATTCAGTACAAGGCATTAATTTTGAGATTTATTATTCATTTATAGAAAACGGATCTGATGTGAGTGTTTGGGGGAGAAAAACATGTTACCTTGCGAGAATAGGCCTTGGCAAGCGAAACACCCCATCCATTCTCATGGATCGATTGCTCCGTTATGGAATCTCCAAACAGCACTATCTTTGGCCTCATCATCTCTTCGCGCCAACGCGGTTTTATGTTATGTTTGTTCTACACCATTCACCGTTTAAATCATGTCGCTGCCTCAAACTCCAAACATTATTGCTTAATTAAAAATTATTCGGTTATAAATATGTAAAATATGTTTTTCTTTTCTCTATAATTTTTCAAGTTGAGCTTTATTCCTTTTAATTTTTTTTAATTTGAAAGTATTCTCTCTCTCTTCTCTTTTTTTTTTAAGTTGTTTTATAATATTTTATAATTATTTTTAAGTATTATATAAAGTATTTAAAAAATTAAAAAGTGAAAAAGACTAAAACTAAATTTCGATAATTTTAAAAGGATTAAAAATATATTTTATTTATATTTACTTATTCGATACGCTAAAATATATTTTAATATATTTTGTTAAAATAGTGGATTAAAATACATTTTAATACACTAAAAATATTATGTTATTTTTATATATTTATTTAATGTTATTTTTATTTCTTTACTTAATGTAATAAAAAAAATTGAATTCCTTGATAATGTTTATAAATATTTTTAAATATATATAATTAACTAAATAAATTTTTACAATTTATTCATAATTATTATGAATTATGATTCTTAACCTTAACAAAGTGAGAGAATATAAGTATACAATAACGGCACATTCTCTAAAATATTCTTTTTTTAATATATTCATTCTTATTAATTAAAGTCTATAAAAAATTACTAAATCAAAAGAGAATTAATTATTCAATAAATTATGAGATTTATTAAATTTTATATTTTCCAACTGATTCAATATTCTTTAACACCAATAAACTCTATCTCTATAAATAATATATAAATAAAAAAAAATGATTGACGCCACAGAACTTTTACCACGTGCGTAATTGCGTATACTGTCCTACAACGTGCGCAAGTCTTGAGAATAGCTGGCATTTATGCTTCTTGATTGTGACTCTAGCTAGGAATGGCAATGGGACTCGTGGGGACATAATACATCTCTTCCCATCCTATAAATATTCACGTGGATATTCATTAAATAGATATTTATGAGCCTTTTAAATATTTGTGACTATTTATTGATAATTATGATCTTTCTAAAATAAATAAAAAATAAAAAAATTATATTATAAATAATTTTAAATTTGTATTTAATGTTATTAAAATGTTAAAAATAAAAATTAATGTTAATTTTTAAATTTGCATTTAATATTAATTTTGTTGATATTAAAATAATAATAAAAATACAAGATAACTAATTACTTAAAATACATTAATCTTATAATTTAAAAAATTTTATTAAACAGGTGCTCGCGAGTATAAAAACTATCATAATCCATTTATAAACAGATGGATAGAAAAATACTTATATTCGTTATCTGTAGGTATCCATTTAAACTACTCATTTACTATTTGTAACGAATTTTATCCACAGATACTCACGAATATGAGTATTTTTGTCATCCCTAATTGTATTAGAGAGGTGCAGCCATATGCTTACCTTTATAAATTTTATTGAGCACATGTGTGTTTTATAAATTATATTTTTTTTCTTATTTTTAATGATATGAGATTTTTTTTTTGTATTTCAACAACTATATAAGAATTTGTTTATATCAAATAAATTGAGTGAACCAATATTTAAGGAGATATTTTAGAAATTTGTAATATATTATTTAGATTTATAGATTTTTATTTGTTTTGATATCTTTCAGGAATTTGTTTCCCTATTTTTTAATTAGGAGGATTATATGATTCAAATTTTGTATTACAATTTTACTTTATATAGAGAGCCAAGAAATAAAATATGTGTGTGTTCTGTTTAAGATCTTTGGATGTGTGGGTAATCTTAGGAAGAGTTTTTCCCATCAATAGTATCAGAGCTATGGTAGGGAATACACAAAAATTTGAGATACTTTTATTTGATGGTAAGACAAATTTTATGATTTGGCTATGTATCATTCAAGATATTTTAGTACAACAAGGTCTTGATTAAGCTTTGGAAGATGAAAAGTTAAATACTATCAATAAAAGAGAATGAAGTCAGATCCAAAAGAAGGTCATAAGTATGATTCGGTTAGTTCTTATTCCTGAGATCAAGTGCAACATATTAAAGGAGACAACACCGAAAGTCTTGTAGGAGAAGCTTGAGAGCATTTATGCGTCTAAGTCATTAACCAATCGCCTATGTTTGAAGATGGAGTTGTATCAACTCAAAATGGAGATGGGAAATCTTCATGATCACATTAATCATTTCAACCAGCTGGTGTGTCCATTGTTAAATGTAAACGAATTTTTTTTTACAAAGAACAAGTAGTGTTATTGTTGAAGTTAGATGAAGTGACATCTGCTCTAAGAGAAAATGAGAGAATGATGAAAAATGAGAATAGTGATACTGAAGGTCATGCACTAGCCGTGCAACATTCTAAGCAAGGGAGAAATAATTCACAGAGATAAGATGGATATAGAGGAAGATCAAATTTGCAATCACGTTTAGAACGAGATATGAGTAACATGCAATGTTACTATTGTGGAAAGAAAGGTCACATGCAATCAATGTGTAAAGAAATGAGAGAAGATCTTCAAAAATTGAGAATTACGAGGAGAGATGATGACAACTCCCAAGCTAATGTAACCCAAAACCTTCATGATGATGATGATGTCTATTTGACAACTATTAAGGAAGTTGCTAAATCAAAATGAGTAATGAATTCAGCTGTCTCAAACACACATTTGTAGAGATCAAACAATGTTTCATTCTCTAAAATCTAATGGTGAGTTTGGTCAATTCAAGTTAGGAAATGGTGGAAAAATGGAGGTTAAAGACATTGTGATCGTGAGAATGAAACTTTACAATGGTGTCATCCAAACTTTTGAAAATGTGAGATATGTACCTTCTGTTGCATCTAATATAATTTCATTGGGAGAGTTGAGATCACAAGACTACATGTACGTTGGTTCAAAAGGGGATGCAAAGTGTACAAAGAGAAACACTTGATATTGCAAAGACAAAAGAATGAAAAAAAATCTTTGCTACTTGGAAGGACAAGTTTTGAGAAGATAAATGTTTTAATCAATTAATTATTTAGAAATTTCTATTAAGAGAAGATTTGTTGAGAAAATAATTCAAATTTTAAATAAATTGAGTGAGTGAATATTTAAGGAGATATTTAAGAAATTTGTAATATATTTAGATTTACAGATTTTATTTATTTTGATATCTTTTAAGAATTTGTTTCCTATTTTTTTAATTAAAAAGATTATATAATTCAAATTTTGTATTACAATTCTGCTATATATATATAGAGTAAAAAAATAAAATGTATGTTCTGTGTAAGATCCTTATACATATAGATAATCTTATTCGGTGAAGAGAAATTCTTCTAATCATCTCCATGTGAAACTGTCAAGTGTAATGTTTACGCAACTTTCTTTTATGATGACAACGGCTTTGCCATTGGTACATGCTCAAATGGACTCAATGGTCACTTAGTGAAAGCTGTAGTAGATCACAAGCCTAGCATATGTGAAGGACAAGTTACTGGTCTTCTCACGGCTATCAATTATTCTCTCTCCATTCTGTTCATCATGTGAACAAATAACCATCGTAAGGTCCTTACTAAAACCAATATTTTTTTAGCGGTTTACTAAAACCGCCAGAAAATAACCTCTGTTTTTTCTAGTGTCTTTTGTTACGGAACATTTTTTTTTTCATGAAATAATATGAACTTGATACTATTAAAAAAATATATAATTGATGAGTTGGACCGGATAAAATAAATTTTCAACGTCAAAATCTGCGATATGGTCTAAATTTATTGAATTCACATTTTTTAATCCAATCTAAACTGATATAAATTTTTTTTTGAATTCATTCAGATCATTTATTGGATTAATCCGGATTCATAACCATCCTAAGGTTTTAACACTTTACCTTGGTCTATGATTAAAAACTTCACAAATATAGCTAGGTTTCTACACTACAGTACTGATGAGTTCTTAAAGAATCAAAAGGTCCTTTGGTCTCTCAAGTTAGCATTAAATCATTTTTTTTCCTTCCATCAAGCTTCATACTATTGAGTAGTTCTCTATCTGTTAATGCTTTTAACACCAGCAGATAATAAAGGCAATGAGCGATTACTCATGGATAATTTTAAAATTAAAAAAAAAAATACTTACGTAGGAAATGTGGTTTTAAGTTTTAAGTTTTAAGGAATCGTGGAAAAAAAAATAAAGATAAAATGATCCATATAAAAAATAAAAATCAAAAGGAATAATATCCTTATATAATGCTATAGATGCATAAATCACAAATACTAAAACTTTTCAATACATTTGTTGGTTTGGTCGAGGAGTTAAGGATACTTTCCTATGTGTCGATATATAGAGAAATAACTGCACAATAAAGTTATTAAAACACAGTAACTAAACTAATTAAAAGACATCTAAAAAAAAACAGATAATTAATATGATAATTAAAACAGAATGGTTATATAATTAAAATCTTTTAATTTCTAAAAACTATTCAATTTGGAAAATAGTAACATTAAAATAAAAGTTTTCAGACAAGTTTTAAAAATTTAAATTCCAAATAATTTAAAAAATAAATTAAAATTTTAAAATATTATAAAATAGTACTTGGCTCTTCTAAAGTGAGAAAATTGTGCATTTGAAATTAAAGTACAATAATAATCATCAATTAAAAAAATCAATGATTGATATTATAAATTATTTTAAATTTTATTTTATAATAATTTGATTTTATCACAATTCTTAATTATTAATTTTATAATTAACAATTGTGAATACACTTTTTTCTCTAAAGTATTTTTTTTTTTATAAAAAAGTCAAATTCTATAAAATATACCATAATTTTTAATTGGGAAGCATTAATAACCTACACTAAAATTCGGGGGAAAATATTCAATTACCTCTTCTATTTAATTAAAGGGGCAGCATAGGAACCTTTATAAATAAAAAAAATATATAAAAAAAAAAGAGATGGGGAGGAAAATACATATAAGCTTTTATGAATTTCATGAGAGATGAAGAAGAGCGAAATGAGGTACGAGCGTAAATATGATTTTTTTTATTGATTTAAAATTTAATATTATATCACTAAAATGAATTAATTAAATAGAAGAGGTTGGATATTTTTGTCCTAAATTTTCAGTGTACTAATGCACTCAAACTAAAGAATTAGGGGTAGCGTCTCTATCTCTATATCGAATATCTTGATTTGCTAGTGCTCCTTGCTAACGTTGCAGCATTGTAGGGTCATAAATCATAATTCATAATTTAGTTTCTCACGCATGTATTATGTATGATATTTTTATGCAGCGTGAAGAAGATTCTCAAAAAGTAAAGAACGTTGGGCTGAAACCACGAAATAAATAATTGGGCCTTGTAGTCTTTGGGTCAAACATGTTTGCTCTGTCGGGTTAAGGTTAGGATTGAGATGGAAGTACATACTCAAATCTTTTATTGTATATATATATAATTTGTTTAGATATAAATTTGAAAATGTTTATAAAATTTTTTTAACTAAAAATAAAAAATATTTTTTAGTATAAAAACTTTCAAAAGCATCTCTAACTTTATAAAAAAAAGACTCATATTTCAAATTATTATGAGCCTTTTTACTCTGCCAATTGAGTGCATGAAACTAATATGCCTGAGTGCTTTCCGCTTCCGCCAGCTTCAAACCGTTATTGTGCTTATTTTTCATATTTTGTCTTGAATATTCTTTTTCTCCAATGGAGTCGGCATAAGAGTAGTTCAAGCTTTAATCTTATCAATAAAAAAAATTAACTATTTGTTACTAATTTTGTTTAAAAAAATCACATATATGGATAGAAAAAAGTTCATTATATAACTCTCTTATAAGTATTTTTTTTTAAAATTTTGGTTTTGAGTCTCACTTGTTGGGCAGAGGCCGACCCTATCTCTAATTCTATAGATTGAAAAAAGAAACTCGAGGAGAAGAACTTTAAAAAGTTAATAACTTCTATCATTTGGATAAAAGGAAAGGTTTGTGTTTCTTTTTTCATGTTGGTGCAATTTTGAAGAGTAGACACTTATATCATATAATGTATAATTGATATTCTTTATTTTTCTTTCCACTCATATCACCTATCATATCTATATTTTTTTCTTTTTTATCTTTATTTATTTTGTAACTCATAGGTGTGCATACATCATTTTCTTATAACTTTTATGCTTCCATTTCTTTATGTTGAGTTCTGTGTTTCTGTTTCTTATGCTTAGAGTTACATGGCTATCATTTTCATGTTTCTTCTTAGGTTTTCGTTTGGCTGGTGTTTGCAGGTACTTTTGCTCCTATCTTTCTGAACTGTTCCAATTGTACCAAAAAAAATGTATAATTTAAAACGTGCCAGAAGTTCTATAAGAAAGTAATCACAACGTGTTCCCGAAATGCATCCATATACATACATCACTTCCTTGAGCTCCCTAGTCTCTTCGTTCTGAGTGATAGCATTACAATTTGATATAGAATGCAATTTCAGTATCTTCGATAATGGTGATTGATAGTAGTGCGTATCAAGGACAGTGCAACGAGTGTTTGATTCCACTAAGTTATGTTCCATATCTAACTGGATGGATGATGTCATGGGTCCCCAAGAGCGCCACGATTCCTTATCTCCTTCGTGGAAACAATCTTTTGCAGTATCTCCAAGAAAACACATTTTTTTTACAAAGTAGACAACCATAGTGATCATAATTCACTGTCAGAAGGCATTGAAAAGGGATAAATTATTGTATGATTTGAGACCATTTTATGTCGCTGGTCCTGACTAATTTTTATGTGACATAGAGTTAATAAGTTTAAAAAATTTGGTTACATATATTATGTGAAAATTGGACCATACAATGAAAGATATCCAGATTTCACATTAGGTAGAAGAAGTAGAACGACCTACCAGTATGGTAGACCGAGACATGATCACAAAGCTGATTTATGAAATATCTATTAGAGGATAATCACTTGATGTCCGCATGATCTAAATATAGGAAATCACTTGCATGAGGGGCACCCACCAACCCAAAGATAATAATATTGAATATTAAATAATCCAGTTGGGTATCTTATCTAGTAGATTCGTGATGAACCTAACCCATTACTCTTTTAGCAATTAAGTTCATTAACCTCGTGTGGCCATGACACAACTGCTGATACAGTTAACCATGATTATGGATATTTGATATGTCTAACCAATACGTGCCAACTAATGAAAACAAAAAGTAGATGCGTATTAACTCTTCATTTAACGTACTCTAGACATTACTGAAAAGCAGAACTAGTTGCAAGTCTGTCCACAGCTTTGAAAGGGCTGCTTAGTGCTTATCTGCTTATTAAGAAAAAGGCTTAATTTGAGGATGAGTTGGATGAAAATGTAGGACCAGAGTTTACCAACTTGAAACTCATGCTGTCAAACTTCACTTTCCAACAAGGAAAAAGCAAACACCTAGCTAAAAGCACGTCTTATAGTCTTACTATTGTGCATGCTTTCATTGTCACTATATGTTCAAATCAAAGATACCCCACTTCTTTTTAAAGTAAGCTACAATGAAAAAAAATGAATAAATGCATGCTTGAGATTAACAGCTCCCTACATCAGCCTTTTTACCACAATGATGAACGGATAAAAAAAAAAAAAAAAAGTAAGCAAATTGCTTGAAGCGCTTCGAAATGTAATGTTGTCTTGTCTACAATTTGGTCCTATAGTTTTACATATAAATTTGATCTCTACACTTGACACCTTTTTTTTTTTTTTTTTTCCTTTCATTTTAGTCTCTATAAATGCCCTACACTTTACAAATCAATTCCTGCCATTTATTGAAATTATAAGGGTGTTGTATTTGGGCTCTATACTTGACATCGTTTTTTATTGTAATCCCTACACGAAAAAAA